ATAAATAAAGGTTGATAAATTTAATATCTATAATTCAAGCATATTTAAATATTGTATCATTAATTTAAATGATGTTAAGTAAATATTAATAGCCAATCCCAATTTGATAAAAGCCTCTATTTGATACTCAATTTAATTTTTTGTTAAAAATATATACGTATCGAAAATCCTTATTAATGTATATGGCTACATCATTCCTCAATTTCATAATATAATAAAGGGTAACTTTCACGTATAGCAAACAAAAAATTTATATTTATATGCTATAGCAAATATAGAAACTGTATAATTCACTATATATATACAGTTTAAGCAAATTGTATAAAACAAAGTGTATAAAATAAGAAAGAGAAAGACACTTGGGCAGATAACGGTATAAAAACGAAGTGTGTAAAACGAATTATATTATTATAAGTGTATAGAACGATTATATACAATTTGAATTTGTATAAAATGAAAAAGAGAGAAAGACAAAAAAGACTTGACAAGGAATATAAATGAATTGAATTGTATAAAACGAGAAAGAGAGAAATTAGATACAATTTGAAAATTGTATAAAACGAGAAAGAGAGAAAGGCAAAAAAAACTCGGCAGGGGAGTATTTTTTATTGTATAATTATAAGTGTATAGGACGAAAATATATGTACTTGCATGTGTATATACAATTTTCTCACACTTTATACAAACAGAAACACAATTTATATATTTCGCTTTTGTTTGTATAAGTGAGAAAGACGATGGTGGCGAGCGAGATTTGGAAAAGTAGCGAGCGAGATCTGAAAGAGGAAAGAGACGGGAACAAAAATATATGTAATACAATTTTCTCTGTTTTATACAATTAGAAACAATTTTTATACACTTGTGTTTGTAACAATTTTTATACACTTGTGTTTGTATAAAAAGTGAGAAAGCGAGCGAGAGATTGGAGGAGAGTGGCGAGCGAGATATTTGACAATTTCTTGCAAAAGTTTGCTATGGAGCACAATTAAATCAAACCCTAGCTACTTCATTTATTTTAGGTTATTAGTTTGCTATTATATACAATTTTCCCTATAATAAACTCAATTGAGCTCGATTCGATTTACATTCAAACGTAATCATAATAAGACACAAAATATACATTTTGATAGTTCATAATTTATTAGTACATTTTTCTGCAGCGTAATTGACTCCAAATTTGTCGGTAGATTTTTTTTTAATGAAATAGGAACAATAAATATTTAATAATTTTAAGGCAGCTGTCACTCTCAAAATTTCAAAAATAAAAAATGAAGGAATCTTCCAACTAATTGTATATATTTTTCCCTCAAAAGGGAATCTTTTTTATATATATTTATATATATTATTTAATTATGATATCTTACACTTTTTTATTTTTTTTTTATTTTTTTTTCCTGATATCTTACACTTCATTAGTGAAATTGAGGGAAGTAATAATAAAAATAATGTATTAGTATAATTTCATAAATAAAATTTGAAAAAAATAAAAATCTATTTTATTTATAAGTACAGAATTTATATCTGATAGCTCGTCAATAAATTCAAAGAAAATTATAATAAAAAGTAAATTGAAAAAGAATACTATACGAAGTAAATTTTCAAGAGAGGTCAAATTAATTATATGGAATTTCCAATTGTTTGGTATTATTGCACTGATAATATTTTTTCTTTCTAAATGTAGATATTTTGTGGTTTAATTTATTGATAAAACCACAAAAAGAGTTGTGGTTCAACATTTTGTTTTCTTTAAAATAATTAAATAAATAAAAATTTCTTTTATTTAATAATATAAGTTTTCTAAATCCATGACATGATCACAAACTTTAATGTATATTATAATTTATAGCTAATAGAGTTTTGAGATTAAATTTTACATACGGCTCATACTATTATAAATAATTTAGTCACATGCAAGTATACCTATCAAGACTATAGTTTAGACATATATTATATAGACATAACACGTATATTAGATCTTAAATTTAATTTTAAATTTTAACGTTAATCTCAAATTTTCATAGTGTACAAATAGACATTTTAACTATCCTATCTTTTAATAAATAAATACGTTAATTCTTACCTAGCAAAATGCGTGAAATGCACGCATTCTGTGCGAGTGAGGGTAATTTTCGAGGCCCACAACAGTAAAAAAATGTTGAAATGACAATTCTACCCTTAATGAATACCTTTTTATATTTTTTTTTAGCTTCAAAATGACGTATAAAATATTTTTTTTAAAAAAAACGTGTAAAATGTTTAATTAGTTGGCAGCCACTGATTGATTCACTAATACACGTGGAAGTGTTTGCATTTCACACACTTTGATTTCAAAAATCGCGTGTTTATTTATTAAAAGATAGGATAATTAAAGTGCCTATTTATGCATTATGAAAGCTTGAGGTCAAAATTAAAATTTAAAACCAAATTTAATATTCAATATATGTATTATGCCTATTATATAAATAGATGACTCTCAAACGTGACTAAACATTTCAATTTAGTCTTAGCTGATAATAAAATAGTTCAGCTCTTATTTATTGTATCTCATGGACATGTGATATCGATATGATAAATAAATTTTAATGATATATAAATGATCACTTTACAAATTAGAGTGTTTAACTAACACAAATAAAATAATGCAAAATGTACGTATATACGTATTCAAAGTTAAACTGTTTTATCTTTCGGTTGAAATCAAATTTAAATATTTATTTATATAATTAGATATATAATTTATTTTGCTTTGTTTAACAATTTAAACTTTTATGTATTATGTCACTCTGACAGAATCTTTTATGTTATTAAACTATTATTAATAACACTCTGCCATGCATGATATTTTCTGATTATTACTAATTACAATCTTAATCATCTTCATTGATTTTATTATTTTTAAGAGATATGAATCTTAAAATTATATAATTTAATTACTATCATTCATAAATAATATATAAATATAAAGTTGTGTTGGATCTAGTGACTTGAACCTTATTAAGATGAAAAAGAAGTCACAAGATATCTTCGAGAAATGTCAAAGATTTTCATTAACGAGATTTTAGATAAATTTGTGAATTGTATTAAGAGAGTTCAATATGAAATATATACGTATAAATATTAGATTTAACCTTCTATATACAGTAGCGTTTGGATTTGATGATCGAATCCATGTGTTAACACTAATTATCGTCTTTTTTGTTATTTTCAGTATGATTATTTTTTACTATATTCATTTTTACATATTTATTTTTGTGATATGCTTAACTTAAGTCGAAGATCTATCAAAAACTATTTCTTTAAAACTACGTACAAACCTCCCTCCCTCTCGTTCGTGGAATATCTTAGAGTACTAAATATATTGTTATTGTACAGATACTTTTATCATATAAATTTATATCTTACCTACTTTTAAAAATATATATCATCATATACTCAATCATGTCAATAATAATTAGATATCAAATTAGGAATAAGAAGTGTATCAACAATTCAAAATCTCTAAGCCTTAGTAGGGATTTAGATTTAAAAAATTAATATAATGGTCTCTTTGTTATATTTTAAGCTTTTAACCACTCTTTGTTTGGATCTACATAAATATTTTATATATTTGTATGTGTATGGATCTCCAATTAGTTGATAAGCACATGCTAATTAGGTAGATTAAACTACAACAAAATTAGATTATCCAAGGGCTCTGTGCTCAATACATTTGTCAATAAAATTAATTTGTGAACAAAAGTCTAGTTTGTTTTCTTAGATAACAATAATAATATATTCGATGTAATCTCATGAATGAGATTTAAAAAGAATAAAATATCTTTGACGTTGCGAATATTAAAAGATTCTTCTAGTAAAATGAATATATAATACACGAAATAAATAAATAAATATATTTGTTTTAATAATATATTCGATATAACCTCGAGTTGCAATATTTGTTTTCAAAGTTTGACAAAATAAGTCTCTGCAAAATTATACATCTTAAATCCGCCCCGCACCCGCTTGATTCTCTTAAAATATTAGAACCCGCTCTACCTCTACCCATCCCGCATTCATCTAAATAAGTCTCATATTAAACCTGTCTCGCTTCGTTGTCATCCCTCGGGTCCAACCCAACCTGTCACTCATTTAAAAAGATGAGGTTCATAGGCCCATCACAAATCAAGAGGGCAAAAGATGAGGTTTAATAGGCCCAACTAATTTGGGTGTCAAATAAGGTATATTGACCAAAATATATATATCAGAAATATTAGTTGGCACCACTAACGATATTGTCACTTGATCAACTCTCATCGAGTGTGATACTTTACAGTTCGAGTGGAACTTTTTATTGGTCGATGCTTTGTCTTAAGATTACACCATATCGAGTCAAAAGTGTGTATACCATGTAAAACTTAAGTTACGTCTTGTAAAACTCTTTTCACTTGAAGCCTGCCAGAAAACAACACCAAATTTGCTAAATGTTGGAAGAGAAAATTGCTTATAATCAAACTAAATATCTTCCACTTCTATTTGAAGCAATGAAACCAGAAAAAAGAATGACAAACTGTGTATACAAGCATCAGAATTCACAACAAAAGAAAGTGTATACTAATTTGAATATCAAATCAAAATCACTTTGTCCGGCAAGGACGAAGTTAGAAATTTCTCCAAGAATGTTCAAGAATATATATATATATATAAACAGTCACAGCAGCAAAGCCCATTCAACCAGGGGCAGAGCTACGAAAGAGAGCACAGTTCGGTCCAACTCAATAACTTTGATCCAAATCTTTAACATAGTAACTCAAAAATCTAGAATCCCGAACCCATAAGATTCAAATTCCGACTCTTCAAATATGGTTTCAGGGGGACAATGGCATAAGGGAGTTATGTCTTCTTTGACTATGTACAAGTAACTTACATACATACATCAAATCAATCCAGAGTTCAACAACATTAAATAGATCAAAAAGAATAAATCTTTGTAGGCGTCAACTCGAGTTTCTCTGTAAAACTCATCATGTCCAGCTCCCAAAACCTGGGATACTTCCTGCATTTTGGCTAACGAAATACCTCTTTCTTCTTGCGTGTTTTTTAGTTCGTTGAACTCTATTCCACTCGAATACACATTGTTCAACAGAAAGATTGATGTTGCCCATCTCCTGGATAGATACATTGAGGCTGTCATTCCCCATATTCTTCACTTCCTCTTGTATTCTTTGAACAAACATTTCCACAATCACACAACACGAACGTACCTCAATGCATTGTAACGTATAGATGTTCTCTATCTCATGAGGCATATTCTCGATAGAGTAACAATGTTCTAGCACTAGATGTTCGAGGTTTGGAAAGTTTACCGAGCTAGCATCCCATACAACAAGCTCGAGAGAATCCAGTTTTAGGTACTTCAAGTTACTGAACACTTCTTCAGTCAGATTCCAAGTGTGTTGCTCGAATTCTACACACATCAGTTTAAGAATCTCAAGATTGGGTAAGCTAGAAAGAGTGTTCGTAAATCCACGTGGGAGAGAAGAACACCTCTGCAGAACCAACTTCTTCAGACTTGACGGGAAAAAATCCATGCTTGACAACTTGTGGTAGCAAAGCTTCAACTTTTCAAGCTGCTTCAAGTAGCGAAGATTACTGAGGTAATAGGATGATGATGGCTCACTGCTACTACATTCTCCGCGTCCATGTATTGACAATTTCTTGAGATTTGGAACATTAACGACCACTTCTCTTGTACAACTAGCAATATCCATATAGGTTATTGTTTGTAGATTCGTTAAAACCTTAGAAATCCCATTGAAGCCAGACGCAGGATTAGGTAAAAAACATCCTTTACCCAAATAGACATGCCTTAAGCTTTCCATTTCCCATACAGTTTCAGGCAGATTCACGGTATGACTTGTATTCAAAATGAAGGTCTGTAAGTTCCACAGCCTTGAAATCAATTCAGGGCAATCGGGTTCATAAACTGCTAGCGCAAGATACCTTAAATGAACAAGCTGCAAAACTTGAGGCGGAAAACAATCGAAGGTGATATTTAGTATGTGCAATACTCTCAACAGTTTATATAGTAAAGGACCATACATCTGTGGACTAAAACCCTTCAGAGCTCTCGAGTGATAGGAAAGGAGCAGAGTTCGGGAGAGGGGAAGCAATGGCTTCCACGGAACTTCAATAGAGGCAGCATCAAGGTAATTGAGACGACGACCACAATGCAAAGTATCATCTGAGGCAGGGAAACAACAGAAATTCTCCTTTTGAGCCTCTCTCAAGCCTAAGTCTTGCAGAAGATCATGGACAGCACAACTTTTGATTCGACCATTGGATTTCCTCTCTTTGACAATAACGAGATTACGGTTCACAAGATCTTCCAAACATTCTTCTGCATACTTTTCCAAGTTCTTTACCTTTCTGTTAGTCAAAAAACCCTCCGCAATCCATAACCTTATCAATAGCTAGACACAAATCTCGGTCTGTGTTAGAAATCCACACATATAAATGAAGCAAGCTTTCAAGTGATATGGCAAGTTTCTGTAACTCAAAGCACGTATATCTAAGCATTTCTCGTGCTCATCGGTAACAATTGAACCAACAGTTTTTGCAAAACTCTTCCAACATATCCTAGTCCTTTCTATCTTAGATAGCTGGCCAGCAATAACGAGAATCGTTAGAGGTAGTCCTTGGCATTGTTCTGCAATCTTTTTCCCAATATCCTCTAATTCCAGATGGTCATGTTTACTTCCAAACACCTTATGACATAGAAGTTCCCAGCTTTCCTCCGAATCCAAGAATCTTAAGCAGTATGGAGGGATATTGGATTTAGCATGTAATGCTACATTCATAAGTCAGGTAGTTAGTAATATTCGGCTTCCATTCTTGTCATCTGAGAAACACCTTTTTATACGATCCCAATTCTCTGTAGTCCACATCCAAGACGATGAGATACCGATTTAACTTTAACCTTCTATACAACATTTCTTCCAATTGCTCACTATGTTTCTCATGAATCTCATCAGTAAACTCGACAATATCATCAAGTAGACCAATCAACAATCCTTTCATTTGACGATCTTTCACCGTGACCCAAGCACAAATACTAAAGTGATATTTGATGAGGGGATCATCGTAAACCATTCTAGCAAGTGTGCTTTTGCCTATACCGCCCATACCAACAAGAGTGACAACCTCCAACTTAGACGAGAAAGAGCAAAGCCGGGTTTTTATTTCCAACACATCGTCGTCTAGGCCAACCACAATGTCTTGTACTACTGGACTTTTTTCTACTGAACTATCAAGCAAATAGCACTCAGATTCATTAGGTTTTTTGTAACAAGACATTTGCTCATACATCTTCATCACTTCCAATTCAATCAATTCGATTTCATCAACGATTTGGGACAAACACTCCTTGGTGCTATACACCCTATCATAACACTCTACTAGGTCCAAACTTTTCCAGCTAAAGAAAACCATTTCCTCAACATAATCTTGTGCTCTATACGACACATTTCGAATCTGTCTCTCCAAATCTTCCACCATTTCAACATCATTGCACTTATTACTAGAATCCACAAGAAATCTCTGGAAAACACTAAGTTTTTCTGAAAGAAACTTACAATTTTCATCTTTATCAAGATCATTCAGATAAGGGTTTGGACTAAATATCTGATCAAGGGTCTCTAAACAAACAGTCACAGCAGCAAAGGCCATTCAACTAGGGGCAGAGCTACAATATAGGTTAAGGTTCGACCTAACTCAGTAACTTTGGTCCGAATCTTGAATTCGTCTTAAACTGAACCCATAAGAATCAAATCCTGACTCCGCCCAACTCTTCAAATATGGTTTTAGGGAACATTAAATAAGGGATTTTTGTCTTCTTTGACAATGTACAAGTAACATATATATACATACATCAAATTAGTACAAAGTGCAAGAACAACAAGTAGATAAAAAAGAATCAATCTTTGACAACATATATCAATATTAGGAATCAAATGAATCACAAGTGCAAGAACAATAGAAAGATCTTACCCTTTTCTCAAGTGTGAGTAAATGAAGCAGAGAATAAGAGAGAAAAAAATAGATTTTCTTTCAACTTTGTCTTTCAGTAAAAACTAAAGCCATGACTTTAAAGAAAATTTCTTCAACGTTGTTGCCAACTCATTTTTGATCAAGTCCTTGTCACGAACTTAAAGTATTTGCTAAAGCTCAATGCAGTTCTCAATTATTTATTCACTAATCTTTTCCATTTCTATCCGGACGCAAAATCAGCTCGGCACAGTGGCGCGACATCACAACACGCATCGGTTGATATTTATATAAAGAATACGAGTAACAAAAATTTTATATATCCCTACATTATTAATATTTGTATAACTATTTTTTGGGGCAGCTTAGATTGTTTGTCTGCAACAATAATCGAAACTATAGCTATAATTAAAAATAATTAAAACTTTAACAATATACTATAATTGTTTGTCATTTCGCATAATTTTCTCTATTATTAGAGTAAATGGGCCAAAAATATTTAAGTTAATAATGTATGTAACATCAATTCATTATTGACTGAATCTAGAGATGAAAAACTAAAGGATGGTTAAAGATTGTCTTAGCCCACCTAATCTAATCAAACATTAATTTTTATAAGAAAGAATTAGAGAAGATGACAAGCAACAAGAAATTAACATAAACATAAAAAGCTTATACTAGATTAATTTGATTATATTATATATAATAACCCTCACAACAATAATAATAAAATTAGTATAATCTCACAAGTAGAAATTTAGAAAAAACAAATTACACATAAATTTTGTTTTATCTTAAAAAGTTAAAAAAAAATTTCTCTCGTTCACACGATTAAAAGAAGACGATATCAACAAATAGAAACAATAACAAAATCATCTATCATATTAATAATAGTGGGGCTACCCCTATTTATATAATTGGAGCTACCCCTATTTCTATATAATGAATTTAAGACAAGCCTATCTAATTCTTTAACTAGTCATTTTTTTAAAAAAATATTAGTTTTTTATTGATAAATTTCAATAAATATTTAATTAAAGTTATCTTTAATAAACTTATCAGTTATTGTACAATAAAATACAATCAAACTTAAAGTAAAAAAATCATTATTAAGTGATAGATAAATAATTCAATCTATATATTATTATAATAACGCTACAAATACATTACGATACAAAATGATACATTATAGAGCGATAAGAAATAGCATGTGGTTCAACTTTCAGATACCATTATTAGGGGAGAAAAAGGTTATATGCTCGATAAACAAACAAAATAAAACGAGCATATAAAAACTTAAAAGGAGCACAAGAGAGAAACCAATCGTGTTTCAACAACAACATATTCTATGAAATTACACAAGTGAGATCTCAGGAGGATACCGTATACACACACCATTACTCCTACCTTATAGGAAGATAAAAGAACTATTTTTGATGGACTTTCGACTAATCACACGCTTGTTAATTCCAAACTTAGATAGTGAAGACAACTAGAAGAAAAAATAAAAAAGAAGACATTAAAATTGGCTTTTCAAATTTGTAATTATTTGCTCCATTTTTTTTGGGTCCCTTTCTAAGAAGGTCTGGTCCACCATAAGCTCCTCTTCTTTGATGAACAATTTTATGAACATCTTTATGTTCATCCTTGTTGCTCTCTATACTTGATAATTCATTAGCAACTGCATACAATTTCATATAAAAATTTAAGTTATATATATCGTCATCGTATTATTTATCCAATATTATCAATCCAGACTATAAAATAGAGTTACTTGCAATTATTTTTTCGATCAAGTGATTTGATCGTATAAATATTATATAACTTAAACTCTTTAATAATAAGCAATATTTCCACTAGTAAATATGGGGAAATAAGATTCAAGAATTAACTAAATAAAGAGGCATGAAGCTAGTTTTAAGAGATTAAGATCTTGAGTAATAAAAAAAAATATTTGTAAAGTAATATTTTGTTACAATTTAAAATAGTTTATGTTTATTTAATGAGATTAAGTTATATATATCGTTAGTTTATAAAAAAAAATTCATGTCAGTAGTTATTAAATAATTAAGCTCAAATAGAAAATATTTTTCATGCATATATGGGTACTAGTTGAAACTATTTTCTTAATCGAACATGAATATAAAATATAATTACAATTAATAACATTAACTCGATTTAAATAAAATCCAAACCAAAACAACTAAACAAAAAATAAAATAAAATATGAAATGAAAATTGGAGACCAAAATTACTTACTCTTTTCCTTGTTTTCATTTTGCAAGATGAGTTCATTATTTGTGGATTTTGGGATGAAGGTGCAAGATGAGTATGGCAAAGTTTTCAAGAATATAATAAGGCAAAGCCATGAAACTAATACAAGAATTTTCATGGTGTTTATTTTTTAATGAAATTATTTCCACCTAAGAGTTAGGGAAGTGTTTTAGAGCTATTTATAATAATTTGTGCTTTAATGTGCAAAGAATCTTTAAAGTTTGGGAAAGAATTTATCGATAGAGCGGTAAGTGTTTCAGAATTTTTAATCGAAGGTCTTAGATACAAATCTTGGTATATATACCCTTTGGTAGAGGAGCTTTATTTTTTATATGAAACTTTTCGATACAAATTCGCATGGTGTCTTGTATTTATATATATATATATAGCTTCTTGTCCTTCAAAATATGTTATCATCTATTGTGTTTTTGTTTTTATTATTGCATTATTTTACTAATGTTATTATTCTTTTGTTATATGCTAGGTAATGTATTTTTCTATTAATTTATTTGGTCTGATTTACGTTATTTTTAGTTAAAAAAAAACTTTGATATATGTTATTTGAGGCGAAAGTCTTTTTAAAATAATTTTTTTATCTTTATGATGTACACTCTATTTTTTTCGAATTTCACTTGTCGAATTATATTTTATATGTTTGTTGGAATCAATTAGACTTTGAATTAAGATTTTTAGGGGCAGTTTTGAAAATGAGAAGTAGTGAAAAAGGAAAAAGAAATACTAAAAAAAGAAGCTTAATTAAGCCATATTACACATGTGT